AAAATTCTTTCCTTTTCCTCATGACTTGTGAGGCCACGCCTCCCCTGCCTCTAGTGACTGCACGTCCCTGATTGCAACCAATGGCTTCTTGCCCAGCCCCTCCCACCTGCCCCCCCCTCAACAGCCATGGGGATTAACCAGCTTTCCCTGCCTCTCTGGGCTCTCGGCTTTCTAGGCTGCCGGTTTGACCGAAATCCACCAGGCAGGATACTGCGCCTTCTATGGCGACTGTGGCCCGAATCCTGAAATTGGAACTGGACTCATCCCGCACAGAGTGCCATGCCTTTCCAACACCCCGGCCCGGCTGCTCAAGGGCTCCCACCTCGACGGCTTGAAGAAGGTCTGCCCGATGCTCTTCAAGGGAGACAGCAGCACCTACGGCTGCTGCTCGCTAGAGCAGCTAAACTCCATGCAGAATAGCTTCGCGCTGACCAAGGCTGTGCTGTCTCGCTGCCCAGCCTGCACGGAGAACTTCTCCAACATCCACTGCCAGAACATCTGCAGCCCAGATCAGAGCCTCTTCATCAATGTCACCCGCTACTTCAACCACACCATCCTCAACGTTCCCGTGAGGGGCGTGCTGGAGTTCCAGGCTTACTACAACCAGCAGTTTGCCGAGGAAGTCTTCCAGTCGTGCAAGGGGGTCAGGTTGCCAGCCACCGGCGATTATGTCTTGAGTGTGATGTGCGGCAAGTACGGGGCGGCTGCGTGCAACACCCAACGGTGGCTAGATTTCCAAGGCAACCCCGGCAATGGGCTGGCCCCCTTGGCCATCTCCAACCTCCTGAAAGCAGGGGACTGGATCGCTGAGGAGGAAAACATTTTGCCACTCAATAAAACAGTCTGGAAATGCAGCGAGGCTGTCAACAATAGCCCAAAGTGCTCCTGCCCCGACTGTGAACAGTCGTGTCCGGCCATCCAGCTTCCTCCTTCCAAAAATCAGCCCTTCCAAGTGGGCAGCATGGACGGGATCCTGTTTGTCTCCATCGTTCTCTTTGCGGTTGTTGCACTGTTGTTTATGTCCTTGCTGCTGTGGCAAAGATGCTCCTCGTCCAAGAAGCAAAAGGCTCCCAGCAGAGAAGAGGCCGTGACGAAGTTGTCCGCCTCTGAGAAGGCGAGTCAGGCCATGTATGACTTCCTGGTGAAGGCCTTCAGCTGGTGGGGAAGGTGGGTGGCCTCCAACCCCGTCAAAGTCATCATCATATCTCTAGCCATCGTGGCAGGACTTTCCAGTGGAATTATCTGGATGGAACTGACCACAGACCCTCTGGAGCTCTGGGCCTCCCCAGACAGCCAGGCCCGGCAGGAGAAAGCCCTCTACGAGAAGCACTTTGGGCCCTTCCTCCGGACCAACCAAATCATCCTGACGGCCAAGAACTCCTCAAGCCACGTTTACGATTCCCTCTTTTGGGGAGAGAAGAACTTCAGTGGAGTCCTCTCCAAAGAGGTCCTTTTGGACCTGCTGGACTTGCAGACCAAGCTGCAGAAGCTGGAGATCTGGTCTGATAAGCATCAAAGGAACGTTGCCTTGCAGGACGTTTGCTATGCCCCCCTGAACCCCAAGAACGCCAGTCTCTCGGACTGCTGTGTCAACAGCCTCCTGCAGTTCTTCCAGAACAATCGCACGCACCTGAATGCGACAGCCGAGCAGACGGTGGGGAAGGAGAACGGCACCGTCGATTGGAGAGACCACTTCCTCTACTGCATCCAGTGAGTGTGTGTGTTGGGAAGCTGCCTTCCATGCGGGAGGGGGGACTCATCCTTGCTAAGAAGGGCAGCATGTGGAAGGAAATGCTGGTGCCCCATTTTGGTGGCATCGTTTCAGAGATGGGTTGCTCCCGGTTCAGCCCATCCACCCGGATGCGCACAAGCACGAGTGAACCCGTAATAAACCGGCTAGCAACCCACCACTGCATCCTTTCCTTTTCATCGCCATCCATTCATTTATCTTTCCCACCCATCTCTGAACTGGCACAAGCATGCCACTTTAAAGTTGCCACCTTTGGTGCCAGTCCTGCTGCCGTTACCCCTTGTGCCCCAACAGCCGGCCTTGTCTGCTTTGGGGAGTGTGCCCCTTGCCTGCTTTCTTGGCCCTATGCCACTCCAGGCAAGGCACCAGAGTAGGGATGGTGTGGACTCTTTTAAGCTGGCTGGCTGTCCTTCCACCCACCTCCTGTTGGCATCTCCCAACCTTAGCCTAAATTGAGGGGCACAGCATGAGTTGCGTCCTGCAGGATGGAAGGTGACAGGCTGCTGCCCACCTTTTGGGGGGACTTTGCAACTGACAATATGGGGAGCCTGGCCAATAAGCACAAACATGGGCTGCCCCTGCCTCTTCTACCTCCCCTCCACTTCCTTGTTTGAAGCCTGCAGAGAGTCATTGCAGGCATTACAGGTAAGGCAAGTTGTTTTCTCGGTTAAAGGCCGCCTCTTGCCTTGGGGAATCAGGGCTGTTCTTTCTCCCACATCTGCAGGGGAAAGTTCTTCCCTTCTCCCATACCTCCACACCCCCATATTACAATGTGTGTTCTTCTCTTCTTTGCTCTTCCCATAGCTCTCCATCCTCTTTCCAAGATATCACGGAGCTCAAGCTGAGCTGTATGGCAGACTACGGAGCCCCCGTGTTTCCCTTCCTGGCTGTAGGAGGTTACCCAGGTAGGAGAGGCTACTCCCTCCCAGGTGCTAAGTTCAGACCGCAACGGCCGTCTCTTTCATGTCATTCTCAATGGGACTGACCCGGTTTAGTCAGGGGAAGAAGAGAGTGAGGTCAGCTGGAATGTAGAATGGCAAGCATTGATAATCCTGGTATTCCGGCTGTGGTAGGAAGGTCCATGCAGTCGATTGCCTTGAGCTGGCAAAGCTTTCTGGCTATTTTTCTATTTCTTGAGTTCTCAGCTGTGCCTTCTATAGATTGGAATTCTGATATCTATAACTGCTGAAATACATACAAAGGTGTGCTTCAGGATGATCCTCAAAATCTTTGCATATAAGCTAAAATTACATCTTTGCTTTAAAAAAAGAGAGAAACCATAAGGTGAAGCAGAAGGAGATTTGGGAGCATCTTCTTGTCCAGAATTTCCTGGGACTTTGGCCAAAGGACTCTTGGTGAGACCTTTGGTAGTGTGGAAGAGGATTGAGAAATGGGGACCTTCAATTGCTGCAAGGATCTCTACCTGAACATCGTTTTGTTGTATTTATTGCATTTGTGTTCTTTCTTCCCTATCAAAGTTCCCCACATTTCATTCATCCCAGGAATTTGGCGAATTCTGCCACATTTCCTATCTGGTTTACCTGGGAGAGGTGGACAAAACCCTCCAATCCCGCCACTGTTATGGCAGGTCCCAGACAGCACCGGATGACTATTTTATCAAGGTGCAGTGACGCTCAATTGAAAGGGCAATGCACATTAAATACAGCTGTGAGAAAGAACCCAACGGACATCCACATATGGAAATATGTGCAGCAACGGGAGAAAAGAAATGATTAAAAAAATGGTTTTCTCAAAAGTATATATGTAGAAAGAAAGGAACATTCATGCTCAGCTGGAGAATTTTATCAGGATGAAGTTGCAGTGAATCTCAGGCAGAATTAAGTGCCCCAAGCTTAGAATATATTAGCAGCAGAGATGGAGAAAATAGTTATCAGCAGTTCAGGAACAAATCTTAATGTTTAAGATTCAGAGCAAAGCAAATTAGTCTAAAAATATAAAAACTGGAGATGATGGGAAGCAAAGACAGAGGACAATGAGGCAAGTGGTCAAGCAGAAAAAGAAGGAATGCTTGTTTTGGTGTATTTTGTTGCATTTGGGCAGGGGGGGAAATGAGGAGAAGCAGAAATAAGAGAAAGTGGCTTTAAAGTTTTCACATGGATCACACGACAACTGTTGTTTTCTGTGTCAGGGTGTGACGTTTGTGGTCTCTCACTAGTTCTGAGCTGAACCACTGAAGGCTATGAGGTCTTTTTGTGTGAACCATTCTCTAATTAGAATCCTGAAAGGCTGAGAAGCAGCGTTTTTAGAATAGGGGTTAAGTTCGCACCTTATTCTGATGAGAAATGGAAGTCTCATCCATGTATTTCCCACTAGCTGTTTTCCAACAGGACCAGCGAGAGCCCAGGGCCTGATTTGGGCCTCGTTGGGCTTCCTCCTGGGGTGGCCGGGCCCTGTCCCCACTGGCCTGGGGACTCTGTTGGAAGCTAGAAGGTCCTGCCTGCCCCTCCGGCATTTTGGTGATTTTTCTCTGTGCTTGACAGGGCTGGAGTACTCCGAAGCAGAAGCACTCATCCTCACCTTCTCCTTGAACAACTTTCTCTCCGGCGACCCCCATTCTGACTATGTGCTTTTGTGGGAGAAGCATTTCCTGGAGGTGGTACAGGAATTTCAGAAAAACCACTCTGAGAAATACACCATTGCCTACATGGCAGAGGTATGAGTGCCCCTGTCCCTCTCCTGCTTGGGAGACCGAATCCAGCTGTAGGGCCAGGCAGCCTTCATGTGGACTAGGCTGTTTTCAGCCCTGGGAACCCAGTAACAGAGAGTTGGGTGAAAAGTGTCTAAGTGCTGGCATAATTCCAGGTTCTGAATACAGCAGAAGTCCTTGGGAAAGACACTTATATGTTATCTGGGCTTTTATTTAAACCATTTAACCATTTATGTAGTGGGCGCGTTGGCTCAGTGGCTAAGATGCTGAGCTTATTGATCAGAAAGGTCGGCAGTTTGAATCTCTAGTGCCGTGTAAGGGAGTGAGCTCCCATTCCTTGTCACAGCTTCTGCCAACCTAGCAGTTCGAAAGCATGTAAAAAATGCAAGTAGAAAAAAAGGCACCACCTTTGGTGGGAAGGAAACAGTGTTCCGTGCGCCTTCAGCGTTGAGTCATGTCAGCCACATGACCACGGAGACGTCTTCGGAGACCTCTTCAGCGTTGAAAGGGGGATGAGCACTTCCCCCCCTAGAGTTAGGAACGATAGCACAGATGTGCGAGGGGAACCTTTCCCTTTACCTACGTAGCTGCCCACCTTATGGCCAACACTGGGCAGTTCCCAATCAAAAATAAAAACAGCATAAAAACCATAATGAAATGATAAAACTCTGCACATTAAAAACAATACTTAAGGGAATAACTTTATAAACTTTATAAACAGCTGCATTTTTGGAAGTCCTGAAGATTCCTGCTTTACTTGCTCATAGCCAACTTTTAAAACAACCTGTGTCTGTTGCATGCAGGGCAGGGTAAATGGAACAGAACCTCCAGTTTTCCTGCCTCCACCTTTCACAATAATTGCGCAGTTGGTTTTCATTTATTCAGAACTAACAAGTAGGATAAGAAAAGCCAAAAATGGATGTGTAAAGTTACAAATGCTGAGCTGGGTGGGTCTATCGCTATCTGATTTTCCCGCAGGAGCCAATTCAATTCTCCTTCTTTTCCCGCAACTGCAGCGCTCCCTGGAGGACGAGGTCAACAGAACCACCTGGGAGGACCTCCCCATCTTTGCTATCAGCTACCTGGTGATCTTCATATACATCACGGTGGCCCTAGGGGATTACTCCAGCTGCAGGAACATACTGGTAGGACGGAAAGGCAGACAGACAACAAGCGAGATCCTGCTATGAGTTCTAGTCTTCCATCCACCTTGTGGGTCTGACAGGAGGGAAGGCTGGCCCCATTTCAAGGAATAGCAAAAACGACTTGCAGCCACTCAGAACTTCCTCCAGATCAGGGCAAAATGGTTGGATGGATGGCTGAGCTGGTCTCACCGAGACGTCCATGGCTGCCCATCTTGGACAGAGTAGCCAGATTCAAAGTCAACAGTGAGAAAGGATGGGATTCCTTCCTCTCTCCTCTCTTGAGCAGGGAAGGTGAGGTGTAACAGAATGTGTGGATGACCTTACCGGGGGTGGGGGGAAGGAAAGAGATGCTGTCCAGGGAACAATCAGACTAGAGACAGAGAAGCCCCCAGGGGCTTAAGGGTCAGAGCAAGACACTTAGGAAGGACCAGAGGTGGGTTGCTACTGGTTTGCACTGGTTCAGGAGAAACAGTAGTGGAAATTGGCATGGGTCGCCGAACCAGTAGGGACGGCAGGCTGGCCTAGCCCCCGAACCGGTTCCCTAGTCACCCATACCTTTGCCAGAATGATTTTTAGTCATTTTTAATGTGCTGCGCATGTGTAGAACAGTTTACAGGCAACTATGCATGTGCAAGCAGTGTGCAGCGCGCACACACGCAAAGTGCACACAAAGCAAACCAGCAGTAACACTGGCAGCAACCTACCCCTGGGAAGGACCTGCCTAACGTGGTTAAAAGTGGAGGCAGAAAGTCTTCCCGGCTTGCAAGATTCTGCTAAAGCAGCCTTAGGATAAAGTAGACTCCACTTATCTAGGTGGTTTCCAGACAGGCTGAAAAGGGGCTTCTCCCTGACCCCAGGCAGGGGAGGGAGGGTTCATCCTGCATGTTGCTCCCCCAACCTGTGGGGACCCCTTGGGCATTTCCCTCCTCATTGTCCACTTATGCACCCCAGGGAGGAGAAGGCAGGTCTGGATTCCCTGCTGGGGCTGTGGTCTCCCTTCACCTTCTCCTTTTCAGGTGGAAGCCAAGCTGTCTCTTGCTCTGGGCGGCATTGTGGTGGTCCTGGGGGCCGTGCTGTCATCTTTGGGCTTCTACAGCTTCGTGGGGCTGCCCTCGTCCCTCATCATCATTGAAGTGGTGCCCTTCCTGGTGTTGGCGGTTGGTGCTGATAACATCTTCATCTTTGTATTGGGACACCAGGTGCGAAGACCTCCCCATCCCGCAAGTGGAGGAGGGGGGCTCAGAACAAGCCAAAGAAAAAGCCACTCGTTAGACCGGACTAAATCGTGTGTGTGTGTTTGTGTGTGTGTGTGGTGTGTGTGTGTGTGTGTGTTGCCCAGCTGAGAATGGAGTGACCCCCTAGGCAGCCTTCCTGCTATGGCCAACCCCATCTCTCATCTCTCACCCACCCCTTCTCTCCTATTGCAGCAATCCCAGCCGGCACCTGGGGAAACCCCGGAGCAGCACCTGGGGCGCACTTTGGGCAACGTTGCCCCCAGCATGCTCCTGTGCAGCCTCTCCGAAGTCGTCTGCTTTTTCCTGGGTGAGTGAAGCTGGAGGCAAGCAGGAAAGGTCGGGCGGCTCTTCCCACATCCTGACCCACAGATTCTCTCCCCTGGATGGCTAATGACATCCCCCCGCCCCAGGTGGCCTCGACTGGCTTATGGGGTGGGGATGCTGCAGGCAAAGTGGAGGCGGGGGCGTTGGGAGGATGCCAAGCCTTGAAAAGGTGCATTTCAGCATTATTATGTGAAACAGGAAAGTGGTTAGAATTATACACTGGAAAAAAATTCACTAGCCAAATTGTGCAAACCCACCCAGACTGAAGCTGAGTTGTTGTTGTTGTTGTCAGTCTTCGCAACCCAATGGACAAGCCTCCCCATCTCCTGGAGTTTGTCCAAGTTCATGCTCGTTGTGTTGAAGATAACTATGTGTACAATTAAATGTCTTCATTTAACGCTGGGCCTCCTGATTGAACTTGAGCCCCATGGATGACCCCTTCCACTGTATCCCTCCCTTTGGCTTCCTAGGGGCCCTGACCCCCATGCCTGCCGTCCAGACCTTTGCCCTCTCGGCAGCCCTGGCCGTCTTCTTCGCCTTCCTGCTCCAGATGTCACTCTTTGTGGCGTTGATGTCCCTCGATATCCGCAGACAGAAGGTCAGGCTGGTTGCAGGGCATCTGGGGGCCGAGCTGCAACTGTGGGCTGGGGAGGGGGACGTCTCTTCTGCAGAGCCAGCCCTCAGATCTCCATCCCTCTGCCCGCAGGCCTCTCGGGTGGATCTCTGCTGCTGCCTCCGAGTGCCTGAATGCGAGCCTGTGAAGCGGCGCGATGGACTTCTCCGCACATTCATGCGCAAGATCTACACGCCACTCTTGCTGGGCAGCAGCGTTGTCCGAGTTCTGGTGGTGAGTTCCCCAGCTGGGCTGGCTGGCTTGGAGAGGGATCTGGGGGATGTGGGCAGAATGGGGTGAGGGGGAGAGCCACCTCCCAGCTTTTCTTCTGGCACTTTCTCCCATCTCTAGGTGCTGCTCTTCACCCTGCTTTTCTGCGCTGGCATCTACCTGACCTTCCACATCGAAGTGGGGTTGGAGCAAGAACTGGCAGTACCCCAGGTGAGCAGAGAACAGTAGTGGCTGATCCTGAAGCAGGAGAGAGCCTCATTTCATCCCTGCCCCTGTCGGAAACCAGTTCTGAGGAAATCGGCAGGGGTGAAATCCTCCTGGTTTGGCCGGATTTGGCCGAACCGGTAGGGACGATTGTCCTTGGTTCTGTGAATCGGTAGGAAAAAAAAGCTGTATAATTACTTTATATTTTTATGTATGTTTTGTTTTTTCTTGTATTTTTCTTTCTGTTTTTAAAGATTAAAATGTTTAATAAAAACTATTTTTAAAAAAAAGCTTTCAAGGATCGCGCGGCACAGCTGTGAGCCACACAATCATCGAACCAGTGGGTTGGGGGATTTAGATTTCACCACTCAAAATCGGCCTTCCTTCTGAACCAATTTAAGCAACAATACCTGAGATGGTTTTATGGCTGATGCAGAAAGTTAAGTTAGAGATGGTTGAAGCCACACATCTTATTCTAAGGAAACCAATCAAATCAAATCACCAGAGCTGGTGCGGTGGCCTAAAGGTGGAGCTCTCGCTTCACAGGCTTGTGAGTTCGATCCTAGGTAGAGGCAGATATTTCTCTCTCTGGGCACAGTGAGACTACATCTGCTGCACAAAACTCCGCATTGGCTACAGGGAAGTAAAACAGGCCAGTAAAACATTCTGCTAGTTCCATTCAGTTCCCCAGACTCTACAATGCAAGGTATTATGGGGTGTTAAACGATGATGATGATGAATCAAATCAAATCACCGACTAAGCATATAATTTTTGTGCATTTAAATATTCATCCAGGCAGTGGAACCAGTCAACTAAACTTTCTCCTGATTGATGGGGGAAAAGGAAGCCCTTCCAGGCATTCTGGAGCAGCCCAAAAATGTTTAGATTAGGTGGTCAAAAAAGGCAGATTAGGTGGTCAAAGGGTGGCTAAACTTCCCTCTGCTTTTCTTTGCTGTTTCAGGACTCCTACATGTTGAAGTTCTTCCAATTTTTCAACCAATATTTTACGGTGGGCCCCCCAACTTTCTTTGTTGCCACCGGTGGCTACAACTACTCCTCAGTGCCTGGAATAAACGGGATCTGTTCCAGTTCTGGGTGTAATGATAACTCCATGATGCAGAAGATCCAAATGGCCACCAAGTTCCCCGAGAAGTAAGGCACTTTCAAGCTGCTTTCAACTCAAAATTATTTTTTTTGCATTGCACTTGCCTTCTCGCTATTAAAAAAATACCCTTTGATTTTAGTTTTCCATTTGAAAGATGCGCATGGGGTTTGATAGCCTTGGCTATCTCATGGCTTTTAAACATGTTCCTGTAAGAAGACAGAGCTATAGAAAGCTGCTCACTCGTGTTTGTGGTTGTCCAGCATGACTGGAGGGGCATCAATTAAAACCCAAAAGCACCTCAGAAATCTCTACCAAAGGGAGAAGAAGGAAAATAATTAAAACTGGGATTTTTGAGAGCCCAAGAGAAAATAGTTAAAAGAGGAAGAAAGGGAAAAAGAGTTACATTAGTAGACTAAAGAGATTAGTAGTAAGCTTGTTATTGTGACGTAGCTAATTAAGGAAGAAATGATAGTATATTGTTAATGGTAGAAAAAAATTGAAAGAAATGCTCTCTATGCTTAAATTGAATTAGAGGATGTATACTGTTTATAGCAAAATATAATAATGGAGAAAAGAACAAATGAAAATCGGGTGTAACTTTGAAGGGGCATTTGAAGATATTGTTTATCTATTAAGAAAAAATAACTATAAAGATGAAAAATAATGGAAGAGAATAATTTGGCTGAAAGTGAAAACAGAACTAGGATGTAAAAAGGACCATGGAATTGAGAGGATGTAAACGAAAAGACCAGACAACTCTTTGTTCCTATAATATGTATAATTTGTATTAAAAAATAAAAAAACTTTGAATGGAAAAAAAAAGGAATCTCTACCAAAGATTTTTAAAACCATCTGTCAAGTTTCCTAACAATGCTGTAATTGATTCATAATAATCGAGCCAATGTTTTAATACAAAAACCAGTGATTTATTAATCGCTTCATTAGGCAAGATTTGTTTGCAGTCAAATCTTTGCTTTGTTTTATTTGCTTCTGAACTTTATCCCTGTTCCTTCCCACCTCTGTCTATGTCATAAATCACGTTACCCAATAGATACACCCCTCCCAACCCGGCAGCAGTAATCTGAAATCCCATTCCAGCCGACAGTATGTGTGGAATGCACTCCCACTCATTCTGTCCCCCATGACAACACGGAGAGTTGACACCATCCTTGGCTGAGGCTTCTGTCGTGGCTTTCCATTCCTTAGGAGAGGAGACCCCAAGGCTGACCTGAGTCCTAAGTTTTCTTTGTGATTTCAGGTACTTCCTGGCCATTCCTTCTACCTCCTGGATAGACGACTTCATTGACTGGTTGAATCCCATATCCAGATGTTGCCGCATTCACAGTTTTGGCCCTAACAAGGGCAAGTTCTGTCCTTCAACCAGCAGTAAGGAACTCTGCACGGGGATGGCAGGGAGCTGGCAGGGCTGGGCAAACTAAAAGTTCACCTCACCTTCGGGAAGGTGGCAAAACACCTCCGGGCAGTGTCCAAGAGTTTGTCTCATCTTGGTAGACTCCCTGACCTGCACTTTCAGCAAATGCATGGGCAGCTTCCAAGGTATCCTCCGGCCGAACAGAGAAGAGTTCAACAAATTTCTCCCCTGGTTCCTCCAGGACATGCCCAACCTCAAGTGCCCCAAGGGGTGAGTGCCACAAATGTCACTTGCAGGCCTGATTCCATTGTTTGCCCTTGCCGTCCAGAGGGACATCTGCCTTCCTGGTGCATTGACCCCCTTCCTCTTTCTACAGGGGCCTCGGGGCTTATGACACATCGGTGCACCTGGGGTCTGATGGGCAGGTCTTGGGTGAGTAGAGCCCAGCCAAGGAAGGTGCTGCCTATGCGGGCCAGCAGGAAATGGAGTTCCAGGTCATTCCGCCTAATTTCGGAAGCGGGATTGTGATTTCTGGGGGAAGGCTGTGCTGGTGATAGAACATGGCATCTCTTCCCCCAACAGCATCCCGGTTCATGGCCTACCACACCCCGCTGAGGAACTCCCAGGAACACACGGCAGCGCTGAAGGTGATGCGGCAACTGGCGGCTGACATTACGGCTACTATGAGGGAAATCCCCGGTACTGATCCGAACTTCAAGGTTTTCCCATACACGTACGTTGCAGGGAAAGCCTGGCAGAACCAGGCAGGGAGGGAGGGAGGGAGGGAGGAGTTGAGGAAGGAAAGGGCTGTGGTGCCCCTCATTGCAGGGCAAGAAGGATCTGGAAACCATCTACTCTTAAGGCAGCTTCGGGGCAGGGGTGAAAGCCAGCAGGTTCTGACAGGTTCTGGAGAACCAATAGAGGAAATTTTGAGTAGTTCGGAGAACCGGCAAATGCCAGCTCTGGCTGGCCCCAGGAGTGGGGAGGGAATGGGGATTTTACAGTATCCTTCCCCTGCCACACCCACCAAGCCACACCCACCAAGCCACGTCCATAAAACCGGTAGGAAAAAAAAATGAATTTCACCACTGCTTCAGGGCTACCCATCCCAGCCATGAAATTGTGATTGGGCTTGGTTTTTGCTTGGAAGAGTCCAAAGCAGATTCTCTACCAACACAAACCAGCAAACAGGCATGGCTGCGGGGCAGACCCTGAACCTCAAAGACCCTGAGCTGCCAAATGGGGAGAGCCACAGAGAAGGTTTCTCCGTGACCCGTCAAAAGCGCGGCCGACAAAAGCGCGATCGACAA